ACAATGTTTTTGAATATGCTACCTCCTACTTCTCCTTGCAACTCACAAGAACTTATAAGTCCTGTACTTAACCCTAATTTAGTAGATGCAGCACAAAGACATAGCTGTCAACACTTGGCAACATCGAATCACCTCCAAATTTAACAAAAAATGCTTCCCCACTATTAAAACAATCCATACTCTGCAAGCTATAGTTTTGTCCGTTTAAATAAATAAAAAAACAAGGACTCGATGCACCTCCTTACTTCACTAACTGTAACCAAGTCCAGCCTCCTTTAGCCCCCCGTGATTCTCTTGTCTATAAGCAAAACCATATTTGGTGAATATCTTCTACTTAGAGTGAGTTGTACTGAGTTAAGCAAAATAGATATGGCTAATCTTTGCAACTCTACCCACATGAACTCATTTCATTCACAAGAATATGACGATTTTGTAGACTCTAATGTGGTTTGAGGAAAAAGGAATCGCAAGCATTTGTGCACTATTCCGAGGTCGAGAGCATCGATGCCATCACATGGGTTCACTAGCCCTGAGCAACATCACACAACAAACATGTTGCATCGTCTAAATCAATCAATCCCCGTCTCAGCAAACCATCCACTTCGGAGTGATGCCGAGAGCGTGGTGGTGCATGAATGCAGAAGTCCTTCAAGCGCAAGTTCACTAAACAATTCCACAGCCCGGCACTTGTAAATCATGCTGTGTAAGTGTGTATGTGTTGTCTAGCATGTTATTGCCCTGACCCATGCAGTTGCAGCTTCCTGATCCACATGTGGGTTCGTCGATTACCACATCGACTGTGGATCTGTCGGTAGCTGTAATGTCGGTAACGTGGTTCAGTTTTTCCAAGCTCACAGTTTTGGTCTCATTTTTCGGTGTGCAAGTGTACTACGTGTAACACAAGTTTGCGAAATGCTCGACATGAAGTGGAGCTCAAAGCGATGGCGTTTAGGTTCAGAGTCGCTCATGCGTTTCGGTGATACGCTTCCCGGCGACAGTGAAAAGTTCGGAAAGGATTCGATGAGAAAATTGTTGCTACTTTTCCTGCCGACAGTGAGATTGTTTTGTAAAAGAATGTGCTGATCCAGGTGGACAATTTTTGTATGGCAACAATCTTGTTTTCTGTAGAGGACCAAATGCTTCATTATTGCAAGCTTTTGTTTTTTGTTGTGAAACTAAGTGGACAAGATAGATTATAAAGTGATCCACGTTATATTTGAAACATGTTGAGAATTTGGTAACACTATATGAAAAATAAAATAGTTTGCTCAAAGAAAGTCCAACTGCAGCAAGTCTACCATGGCCTTTTATTTTATTCTTTGGGAGACAACATCAATGACATAATTTTGTTACATCATTAGTTGTGGGGTACAAATTAGCTGAGTGAGTAGATAAAGCTATTAATTATTTTATTCATATATATATATATATATATATATATATATATAACTCTATTAAACTTGTTAAACACGTTTTTCCATATGTATGAGAATAAATACTTATGCATTAGTTTAAAATTCACATAATTATGTTCTGTTTCATTTAAAATATAAAAATTCAAAACACATTTATTTTAAAGGTATCAACAATATTCTGATTTTTCAATATTGTGCTAATTAAAGACTTTTTTTGATATCTGATTATCTTATTATCATTATTATATCTATTATAAAAAAAATATTTTACCAATTTCAAAAAATAAAATTAGAATGCTTAAAAAAGGCTGTGTTTATATATATATATATATATATATATATCAGAATCTCTAAAACTATTTCTTAAAGGTTTTTTTCAATATAATAGAAGCAATGGTACTTCTTTTACTTAGATTTTATTATATTTTTTGACAAAGAATTCTATTAAGGCAAATAAAGCAACATCCTTATTCTAATATAATTATAATATCAATGAAATTACATAAACATTAGCTATTCTTAACATTGGTGTAAGGTTGAAGGTTATATTGGCTTTAATATTTTAAAATTAGCTATAAACAAACTACAATGTCCAAAAAATAATTTGTATTAAAACATATGTTAAGAGTAGTAAAAGAATTATGTTTGTTTATATAATATAAAAAAATACTTCATAGTTGATATTTTTAAATATCTTTAAAATCAATTATAATATGTAAATATATATTTAATATAATAAAATATAAAACAAGAAAACTAGCATATATGTAAAATAATCGTCAATAGTTGCACTTCTAATGCACCATAATTTTTATTTCTAAAAAAAATCTTTGTTAGCCATAATTTTATTTATTGTAAAATTAAATTAAATAAATAATTTTAATACTTTATGGCTCTTTAGAGTAGCCATAAAGTATATATTTGTAAGATAATTACATATGTGTAACTATAAAATTGCATGATTATTATTGTTATTGCTATGCAATTGTATATACAATACAACAATATTCTTCTTTAGTTTGAATAGAAGATAAATGTATTTTAAATCTAGAAATTTCTATTTAAAAATCTATAAAAGCTTTTAATATCTACAAAAAAAAAAAAAAAAAAAAAAAAAATCCACAAAAAATGATGTTACTTTGAAAAGCAATAACTTCAAATATATATACTTATTATTTGTAAAGTGCTTAAATTAATTGGTCTATTTTTAATTATATAAAATCATATAACTGTTAGATAATTTAAAAAAATAATTACAAGTAATATATTAATGTAGAATAATTGTGAACTATTAATAATTTAAATCAACAAATTATTTTTGGAAGTAGTCATTTTGTAGATTGATATTCTAAAAAAATACAAATCTCTTCTATTATACCAACTATCTAAACTAATTCGCATAAGTTCTTAGTTTCTAATGTGTGGAAATATTGTTTATATATATATATATATATATATATATATATAACATTACTCAATGTTATAAAACCAACATGGATAATAAAACTAACATTACTAAAATTGTAACAAAAAGATTTTTTTGTTTAAAATCTAAAAATCTTTATTTTCTCATTATAAGATATTCTATTACAAAGGAATACTAAAGGAAGTAGTATAAGGAATTTTAATTTTTTCAACTAAATAATTTTTGGTTATAGGAATACAAAGCCAAGAAACCACAATCTAGAGTTGGTATTTCTACTAAGTAGTTCTGTGTCATAAGAATATTCACAAATATTCACAATTTGAATTTGATTTTCTAATATATTTAAAAAAGATATATTGTTGAAAATAGTTTTACTTTGAATATCCTTTTCAATGTTTTCTTTGTCTATCAAAAAATCATTATAATCAAACTAAGATGAATCAGACAATGTATTTGACAATGTATTATCTTTTGATAAGTTTTTTAAAATATATTCTTTTATCATAGATATTAAAACTCTTAATAATAATAAAATAAAATAAACAAATAAAAAAATTAAAAAAAAAAAAAAAAAAAAACATATACAAGTAGATAGAATATCCTAACAACTTTGAAAAAAATTATATCTTTTTAAAACATATGACTTAAGGTGTTTTTGAAGTATACAACAAATATTATATATGTTGGAAGTAAATTGATTTTATATAAAATTAAAATAATTATTGTATACTTTGGTGTTTACAAAAGATTATACAAAAAATCCATATGTATATTTAAGTTTAAGTGCAATTTTTCATAATAACACACATAGATAATATATCCATACACTTATATATATATATATATATATATATATATATAACTAAAACATAATTTTAAATAATATTCAATATAATAGAATTGATATACACAATATATATTGTGTAAAAAATATAAAAGAGAATATTAAATTGATCCACCTAAATTTTAGATTGATCTACTTTCAATAAAATATCTCTCATGCCAATCCTTCTTCACAATTCACCAACTACTTTCCATTGTAAAATAGTCCTTCTACTGCTTGTTTCTATTCTTGCAGCTAACCACTCACATTCAAATTCCTTACCTCTCTCACCTCCTTGCGAAATCAACACATCACTTAGTGCAAAATTGAGAAATTGGTGAAAGAAAGTAAAGCCATAGGTATTACAAGATTAAAGCATAGTGGGGAGTAGGAACATGTGGGTCTATTTAATATTCTTATATATATATATATATATATATATATGTATGTATGTATATATATATGTATGTATGTATGTATGTATGTATATATATACGTTTTATAATCTTATTCACTAATATTTGAATTATTTTTGCAAACATTGTGAAATCATGACACAATAAAGTTATTTCTCCTCACCAACTTTACGCCAACCAGTTTTCAAAATCAAAAGCTTCATCACCCATGCAAAAAAAAATCATAACTTGAATTATGTGTGGGCACTAAAATTCGTGATTATTTTACCAATTATAAACCCATAGATCTCATCAACTTTATCCATTCATAATCACTCAACTACCACTTCACTATGGAGTCACCCAAGTAGAAACACCCTCATCCACATTCATCTAAAATCTACAACTGCAGCATGGCAACGAGCTACTTCGATAAGTCTAACACCCAATTACATTTCACATTGCACAAACAATCCACCCATATATACAAATTCACAAACCCTCTCCAAGCTCACTTATTCTCACCGTCCAACACTAATCACCTCATCTTCTCCCAAATGATAACATTCTTCCTCTAATCCAGTTTATCAGGTGATTGAGACTCAGTCACCTTAACGAACACCCATCTTGTGAATGGTCTTGACGAATTAAGCCAGATTTTTCTTCTTTAAAGAAACTGATCTAAATATCTACATATTAATTACGACTTTTAATCTTAAGTATACACAAGTTAGACTCAGAAGTTGAAAGTTGGTTTCAAGATGGGAAGGTTTATCAGAAACGGAAACGCCATTCACAATCGCCATCGGTTTTCGCACTTGAACATGCAGGATGGTCTCGACCGACAGACGGTGATCGATGCAAAACCTAGACAAGGCTGTAAGAGGCGAGATCGGTGACAGAACAAGCAGAGGACACGATTGAGATCGAGTGAGTCGAAATACAAGAACGAAATCCATGGAGATGGAGAGGTTTTTATTCAATTCCGACGATGCCAAAACAGGATGGATCTGCACAGACATGACATCGACTGCTCTATCCCTGCTCGGATCTAGTTCATTCCACTCATCGCGGCGACGACAGAAACGAACAATACCATCGGAGTGTGCACGGATGGCGATCGACACTCAGAAATGCCACCGACTCTGCACGCATTACGAAACCAGTGGATTATCACCACCAGTTCTTTCTAGGAGCTTCTTCTTCTTCTGCAGGCGCATCTTCCGTGTATCGGTTCCTGCCTTCATAACGAGAAGACTCCTCGTCACCACCATACTTGCGACGACCGCCGTAGCCACTCTCCTCGGACTCCTCCTCGTTGTGCTGCTTGCGACGGCCATAGCCACCGTAGCCTCCCTCCTCGGCGGGAGCCTCTTCTTCCCCGTATCGAGAGCGACGGTGCCCAGACTCCTCGCTCTCTTCCTCATTGTAAGTTGGCTTCGGTTCGCGATAACCAGACTCTTCTTCTTCACCGTATCCTGACCTACGGTAATCGGACACCTCCTCGTCGTCGCCGTATTTAGGTTTCGGCTTGCGGTATCCTCCCTCCTCGGACTCTTCCTCGCCATATGAGGGTCTGGATTTGCGGTATCCTCCCTCCTCGGACTCTTCCTCGCCATATGAGGGTCTGGATTTGCGGTATCCTCCCTCCTCGGACTCTTCCTCGCCATATGAGGGTCTCGATTTGCGGTATCCTCCCTCCTCGGACTCTTCCTCGCCGTAGGAAGGTCTGGACTTGCGGTATCCCCCTTCCTCGGATTCTTCTTCGCCGTATGAGGGTCTTGGCTTGCGGTAGCCCGACTCTTCTTCTTCTTCACCGTATGCAGGTCTTGGCTTGCGGTAGCCCGACTCTTCTTCTTCTCCACCGTAAGAAGGCCTATGGCGTCCATAATCGGGTTGTGCTTCATCCTCGCTCGGCCTAGTGCGATCACGTCCACCACCGTAGACAGCGCCAGGTCTGGGATGACCTCCGTAAATCGATGGCCCGGGCACTCTCCCATAAGGACACTCCTCGTTACCATACTCTACCCCCTGCTCCTCCTCATCTTCCCCAAAATCAGCCCTCCGATACCCAGACTCCTCATCAGCAAGCTTCACGGACCCATACGCTTCCTCCAGGTCGTAACCCCCCTGGTAAGGCACAGGGTCGTAGTCATCGTAGTTATCTTCCTCCTGAAACCGGTGAACCATGTCTACAAACTCTTCAACAACACAACCTCAAGCAATAAAAACACACCACCAAACCACCACAACGTAGACACAAAACTTTGCCCAAAAACTTCACACTGCAACCCACTCACTCTCACAAAAATGCAAGGTTTTGCACAGCAAAGCTACTACAAGAGCTGATTGTAGCACAACGTGGCTATCGACAGACGCGGACACGGAATCGGCGTGCTTGATCAGATGTGCGTCGGTGATTGCTCGGATTCTCGCCATTCATGGCTTTACGACTACTTCTTACCCGGGCTGATGCCCGCTTCCCATGGACGGCGACCATGTGCTGGGTCCATAACAATGAGATTTGTTTTTTTCTCTCATTCAACTTCAGATTCATCGCTATAATATCTCTCCCTCTCACCCACCTGGCAGATCCAATTTTCCAAGCCTCCGCTGCAGCTCACATGACGCCACCACCCCCCCCCCCCCCCCGAGACGAAGAAAAAAGGGGCCAAATTTTCAAATCCCTCGCATCTTGAAAAAAAGCATTGCTTTCTTCAGCTCCCTGGAACCTTGCATTTTCCTTCATTTGCTTTAGATTTCTGCTTTGGTCGGTGGCAGTGAATCTTGGCTCATTCGGAGATGAAGTGGAGGATGGTGTGGCAGGTTTTTTAAGCTTTTTATAGCTTTGTGGTCTTTGTGGGGATTCGGAGTATTGGTGGGATTGTTCTTAGTACGGTGATCCATTTGCATGCCATTTGTGGTGTATCCCTTTGAGGATTGCAATGTTGGTTTTTGTGTTCTTGACTTTGCTATAAAAATAAAAACAAAATAAAAATAAAATAAAATAAAAAACAAAACACACGGTGGCCAAAAAAACAAACCCCCCCCCTGATTTGATTCACACTTGTACACGTGGGTATGTTCAAATGTATGTATGTATGTGTGTCTGTGTGTCTGTGTGCATATGTTTCTTTTTTCTTTTTTCTTTTTTTTCTTTGTTTTCTACCCATGGATGGTGTGAATTGATGTGTAGTACATAAGGCATTTGTGTTTATATAAACATGTTTTCATCAATTTTGTCTTGAGTTGCAGATTTAGAGGTTGAAATTAGAAAAATGGTGTTATAGGTTTTTATTACTGTGAAGTTGCTTTGAATTTCGAAAAATATTTTTTGGGAGTTTGATATTAAAAAAATCAGAAAAATAAATAAATATAATAAACTGGAATATACAAGGATGATTGATTGTTAATGCCTTTAGTCACTAAAATATGAAAAGTATACATATTATTGATTGTATTTTTTGAAAATCTTCAAATAAAAAGAGAATCATGTATACATATGATAATCTTACTGATCATCACATCAAGATGAATGTTATTTTTTCTTAAGAAAGATACCATTTGGAAACGTTTAGATTCTTTTCATGAACTTTTGATCACAATAATATTGAATTAGCAAACAATCAATTCTAAGCTATAATTTTTACTTTGAAAAAATGTAGTGTTTCAGTCATTATTATGCATCAATAATGAAAACATACATAAAATCAAGTTGAGAGAAAGACCGTATTATATTATATCAGACATTAAAAATATATTGATTTACACTTTCATTATGAATCACAATCACATAACACAATTGTATGATCTGGGTGGTTTTATTCAGGTTCAACATACACTCATTTTAGTAAATTAGAACAACCAATGTTTTCCTCCAATATGTTCACAAATTTCAATTTAGAACACAATTTAGTTTTAGTTAGTTAATTGGATTTGTTTGTTAGTTTGTATTTGTATTTGTATTTGTTTGTTTTTATTTTTATAATTATCAGAACAAAACTGTTATCATTATGATGATTTCATGCATCACAAGAGGAGTTATTGTTTTCTTTTTTCTTTTCTTATGCAATTCTTAATGTGGGTGTGTAATATCTCATTCTATTTCTAATCATATCTAATTCTTATGCTTCTTTTTTAACAATGATAGTTAATTTGGTTATAGATAGAAGAATGTTAAATAAACCCATGCTTTTACTAAATAGATCTACTCTTGATGAAGAATATGGTAATCATAATGAATGTGGTTGGTTTTTATTGGTTGTAGATCTAATAATGGATAAACGAACATAAAAATATATTTTTTTTTTCTTTTTTTTTTTTTTTTCCATGATGGTTAGAATAGATATGTCAATTTAGTAAAAAATTGGGTCTATTTTACATTCCCCTATAGATATTGTTACTATTATTTTTCCATATAAGTTTTGTTGTCTACTATAATTTTTAAATTGATACACAAAACTATTTTGGAAAGCTTCTTTGTTTCTTTGGTATAACCAAAACCTCTATATTCCAATGAGAGTTTGTTTGATATGAACAAAGTCATTCTTCTTACAAGTGGATAGATTACTTTCTAAATTTATTCTTTTTTTGCAAGCATTGTTGAAAAGCCATAACAATCTCAAATGTCATGTCAAAATTAATCTAAACACCACATTATAGGCATGGTCCAATTTCTAGTTGCATCCAAAGGATCCAATTCAAATCTTTTGTTTAAATGTCTTAAATGATGCATGTTCAAATGTCCTCTATATAATGACAAGGATTGTTCTCTTCTTTGACTCAACTATATAATGGAGTTTATACATGGTGTATTTGTGACTTTGTGAACTAGTGTTGTAACATATCATGGACCAAACTCAAATGGACATTTTGAGCTAATACAAAATTTATGAACTATGTTTATGTCTATTTCAAAAAATCAACAATTTAAAATTATGTTATTTAATTGTTTCAAACTAAAATTAAGAATGAATGCATTTACAAGGTGAGACCAAAGTTCAAAAAAGAAACTAAAGCTCGACATTATAAATCATAATATATGTAAGAGGTTCATATAGAAGCCAATTACTTAAGTAAGTTACTTCATTTTACAAAAGATGTATCCAACTTGCACTCTAACCTAAGTAATTTTAATGCTTTATAATAACAATAAATTATTCTAAACTATTGAATTACTAGAATTACATTATGTTGTCATAGTTTATTAAAAATGGGCAAATGAACACACTATTTCATCCAAGGCAAGAAATGAATAAATAAAAAGCAACTTGCTTATTTTTTAGTATACCTTTTTATCCTTTACAAAAGACTCTTATTAATTGTTATCAAGAATTGTGTAGTGTTGTGATTTTGACATTTAACAATTCTTACCATTTAACATAATTTATTTTGATCATAAATGTGAGTTGAGATATATTTGTCACGGACACAAAATACAGACTTGAAATCTAACAAGAAGTTCAAGAAGAAGTGGCAGAACTAGATTAAACAGATGAGTACAAGAACAACACCAAAAAGGTGAGCTAGAACTCCAAGAGATGTGTTGTCGAGACTGAAGAACTCTTCAGCCTCGATCCTTATATATACTCCTACTTAGGAAGCTTCTCGAGCTACTTCTATTAACTAGGAAGCTTCTAGAAGGTTCCCGAGGCTTCTTTTCTAGAAGGTTCTAGAAACTTCTCGAGCTACTTCTATTAACTAGGAAGCTTCTAGAAAGTTCCAGGGGATTCCTTTCTAGAAGCTTCTAGAAACTTCTCTTCTAGAAGGTTCCAGAGACTTCCTTTCTAAAAGCTTCTAGAAACTTCTCTCTAAAAGGTTCCAGAGGCTTCTCTTCTAGAAGGTTCCAAAGGCTTGTTTTCTAGAAGGTTCTAGAAACTTCTCTCTAAAAAGTTCTAAGGAATATGTCCCTAACAATATTTCAATTGCATTGCTTTAATTTGTTTTATAATGTAAATTAGATTTGGCATACCCATGACAAATTCTTCTAAGCAATGTCTCTCCCTTGCCAATGGCAAGTCATGTGTAGATAGATAATATAGATAATTCAAAAATTTATAATGACTTAGGTGACAATTGTCTCTTTCTAATCTAAAGTGTTAGTTGAGTACTATGCACAAGTGTGGTACATATAGATTAAACAAATATCACTTCATTTTTGTTAATAAATAATGTATGTTGATATAACAATGCAATATCATGTTTATTGGGTTCATGATCAAAGTTCGACATGTATTCTATCACTCATAAATATTAATAAAAAGAAATAGTTAATCATCAAATTAGCAAAATTGGATATTAACATCAATATGATTTTTTGTAAGTTTACTCGTGTTAAACAAACAGAAACTCTAAAACTTAAGACATATTTTGGGCAAAGGCCAAACTTTTTTGATGTACAACAAGCCTTAAACGCCATCTGATGAATTGGGCGTCAGCACGTGAAGTTCATTTTAACTAAAAATGATTACGCTATATATGTTAAAGTTGGCACCATTGAAAACGGACTTTGTATAATGTATGTTTTTTGAACAAATACTTTTAGAAGTAAAATGGTGACTTTTTGATGATTCGTATTTCACTTAATAAATGATCAAGAACTGAGAACACCGAGCACTCAACTGGTTCTCTTTGTTTCACCTGCTCGCTGTTCAGCATTAAAACACTGTTTGATTTGTCGTTGACTAGGATAACAAACTCCAATCCTCTTTTTGTTTAACCACAAACAGGTTTTAGGGTTTTCATGTTTCTCCATGAAACTGCCGTTCTAGTTACGTTAGTGTGAAAAAAAGAAGTAAACAGAATCTCTAAGATTTCACTCCTTGGACTCGGCTCAATATTACGGTCGTTAGAATCCCGCCAGTTCATAGTAAAATGTAGCAAAAGAAATCGTAAGTACTTAAGTTCTCCTGATTCCAACTTCAGAAAAATGTATCCTAATTCAGAAATACTATTCATTTACTCAATGAAGAAATTGGAGATAGTTGGCTGAGCAGGAGGACTACCCCGTCGTTCCAAGGCATGAGCAATCTTGACATCCATCAGTCTATGGTTCTGTTTAGAACGTGTAATTTCCAGTTCACCCACCAATATATCACCATTTCTTGTACTGATGGGAGGATGTAATAGAAATACCTGTTCAACAAAATCACAGAAATAAAAAATTTAACTCTATGAATCCTCTGGTTAAGGTCCATAAATCATATATTGTACTGAAAAACAAAGAACTTAAGCTGAAAAAGTACTTACCTGCTGGCCCCAGTGAGTGGTATCATCAACGCTAGGAGCAGTCGTCAGCTCGACTTCATTGTCAGCAGGATCACTTGGACAACCCTGTTTGATGCATTGGATCAGTTTACTGAAGCTTGGAAGATGATACCACACGACAATAAGCATGTGTAAATGTACAAATTAGACTGACACTTAAGCCAGAAAAAGCTCAAAATTAAGCTCATGATCATGCCTTGTTCCATACATACAGATAACAGATAAAGTATGAACTGAAACAACGGACAGTTGAAAACATACGACAAAACCAATCGCTATGCATTGCAAGTTTTAAGATATGATGAACAGAAAAGAAAAAAGTCAAAAGTATACAGAATCTCACCCTGAAGTGAACATCAAACCACCCAGCAAATCCAGCAATCTTTGCATTACCAGAATCGATTGGAATTCTAAATTGAGATCGCACACTCGCTGTTTCATCAAGTGTTGCTGTTAGGCAGTCAAACTCCTTAACTAGTGCAGGTGCGCCGATAACTTGATTCGGGTGCAGGCTATTCCACACTGAAGTCTGTAAAAATGACAGACTTAATTAGCGTTGTCTGTAACAATTTACATTAATCCTCCTGACCCTAACGACACCGATGGAACAGATTGAAGTATTATTACCACCAAACATGGTTTCAACTACAACGATAGAACCTGGAACACCTGCTGTACAAACCTGAAGAAAGTATTTCCGTTGCTCTTCCCGATAAGGGTCATTCAGGACGCGCATGTCAACTCCATACTGATCAGACGTTTCTTGAGTAAAACGAGACCAATCATTCATAGCATGCTGGTATTCCTGAATCTTGCGCTCTCCCAAGGACGTTTGCATGGGTGCAAGCCACATACGAGCATGGCTGGGGTACCTGGATTGTTTACCAACAGGATATCAGGAAAAAAGGACAACACCAGAGAATACAGAGGTGGAGTCTAGTAGGCAGTGTCCGATAACCTAAGACGCTTCATGAAAATCAAACAACAATGCTTACACACTCGGATTGCACCAGCGCAAAGGTTACACATACATCATGCCCGTGGGCTTCAGCCACTTGTCCCTGGCGTAGATAACAGAGTCAAACATAGACTCCCGCACAAGAAAATAGCCCATCCACTCCGAAATTATGATGTCGACTGCCAAGGTACACGATAGAGGCCGCCACAGTTACTACTCACCCAACCCTGGTTAAACCCCCAACACTTCACAAACCCAGCCACCCAATACCCATGAGGTTCCCTAGCGCCTTGGTTTTTAATTTTAACAGAAAGGGCCAGTCACAAGAGCTATGCATATACAGAGGTGTTAGAGAAGTATCGTGATATCCGTTTAACCATTTGGCTTCAAGTTCAGGCGTCAATACATCAGGACATGGTCAGTATCAACAACTTGACAATTTTTATAAAAGCAGACTAAGACTGTTGAGTTCAAAGATAATAAAACAACTTCACACACAATCCTATTACTCAAAACTTACATTAGAGGATGGAAGCTACCACGGATTGAACAATGAACCACATGACAAAGCAACACTACAACCGCCTAAACTCCCACCATTCACACCAGCCAAGCCCATTTTTTCTTTTTTTTTATCGAGTAGAATAATGAACAGGCAACTCTAACAACCCGTAGCACTCAGTTTGAGAGAGTGGCATGCCTTGTTCAGGTAGAGTGATATCCTCGACAGATCCTTCAATTACTTCTACGATATTCTCCATTCCATTTCCAGCCACCAGAGCTCTGGCATGCGTAGCCATGTCCGTGGCTTCAACAGCATACACTTTCCGAGCACCAGCTTGAGCTGACCAGATTGCTAAGATGCCGCTACCAGTACCAACGTCCAAGACAGTCTGCATGAAAATAGCGGCTTTCGTAAACCAAATTGTTCACAACCATGGATGAAATTAAAATGCAGCATGAGCTGGAAAGCTACACCTCAATGAAAAAGCTAACCTACGCGGAAGTCAGTTTGAAAATCACCAACAATATTCACTCCTTTAACACAGAGCAGATGTTAACAGCCCTCACTTTCTAAGTCAACTCCATAAAATGACGGAAATGTTAGCACAGCATTACCAGACACACCACTGGAACCGTGCGCAGTTATGCGGCACAACGACCACTCAAGAACAAAACATAAGATGCCACTCAGTAACAGGACCCGAAGACACAATGAAATTAGATTTCATCCCATGAGATTACCAACACAAAAATTATTGTTGTTGTTACTATTAATAACATACATCCGAGAAATATCTTATTTAGAAATAAAAATAAAAAATGATTGCGTACAAATGAACTTAGCTTCAAACCACGACGAAACTTCCTCCAAGCTCGAGACAGCAAAGAACGTGCAAACCACCGAACCAAATGTCTTCGTCTCACCAGAAGAAGGAGAAAAAATAAAAACAGAAGCAAATAAAGAAACACAGACACACCTTCCCCTTGAAATGCCGCGCATTCTTGAAAATGGAGTCGTAGTAAGCGTCCATGCGCACTCGATCGGACAGCATCTCCTTCTGGTGGTACAAGAACGCGTAGGTACAGAAGTAATTGGCGAAGTCGGCGCCCTTGTCCACCTTCCCGGCTGGCGCTCGCGGCACCACCGCCGCTCCACCCCCGCTAATCACATGCCCATTCATGGCTCCTCCTCCTCCTCCTCCTCCTGTTCCTGTTCCTACTACCACTCCGTCGCTCGTCCAAGCGTTGCCACGCCCCACTGAACAACACCGCACGCCTCGCAAATTGACGAGAGGGAACGAAAAAGGAAAGCCAGAGAGGAGAGGCGGGAGAGGAAGGAGAAGCTTGGCCCGCGGCATACAAGCAGCAGCAGCAGCAGCTACAGCAGAGCAGCAGTGAAGGAGGCGAAGCTGATTCCGCTGCTGCTGATCAGAAGAGGAGAAGGACCAGCACTGACCCGAAGCTGTCTGAGCAACAACGAGGGCAGCAGCACCACGAGGAGGAGGGACCACGCCGCTTAGGGCTGACCTGGCCACGGGGGTCGGTGATGGGGGGGCCATGGTGCTGTGGTGTGGTGTGGTGAGTGTGGACCCCTGTAGCCGAGTCTCGGTCTAGTCCCCCTCCTGCTCAAAAGCTTCGTGGTTCTTTTTGGAGTTTAGACTCCTTTTGCGTTTTCCCGTGGCTTTGGACTTTTGTTGGATTGGATGCGGATGTGAGGTATTATTTAGGATGAGGGAGGTAAATCCCCTTTAAATTTATTTATTTTATTTTAGTACTATAAAAAATTAACAAGAATATAAAAGTTCAACTTCAAATAGATTGATTCTAATATCAAATAAAATAAAAACACGCATGTTTTATCATAGATCTAATATTGAATCTTATCTCTACATGCATAATTTAATCTACAATAAATATATATATATATATATATATTTAATGAATTTAATATCTTTCTATTATAAAATTTAATTAGAAAAATATTATGTCTCATTTGGTTTTATTATTGATACAAAATTTGTACACTCATAAATTATTTTAAGTTCTTGTAGTTCTAATTTATTTTTTAGAAAGTTAAAAAAAATAAAATTAAATGGTAAGATTATTTAAATTAATAAATATCCATAATTTTATTGTTTTCTATTTTAGATACTTTAAATTTTATTTTAAAAATAATACATAATAGAAATCATCTTGTTTTTGTAGTTAATAGTGTTGTTATATTGAAAAAAAGTGTTGAGTCAAGTACCAAATTAAATGCATTAGATTCTAAGAATGTAAATTTTTATTTTTATTTGATAATTTAAATTTTTATCTTACATTGGTATAAGATAAAGCAACCAAACAAGTATCATGGATATACATATTTATCTATATTTAGCTGAGTTATGTAGAAGAAAGTAGAAGTAAAAAAAGAGACAAAAGTGGAGCCTTCTTCACTCTTGTCAACAACTTTTTTATTCTTAGTCTTGTTTCATCTCTAGTCTTCTTATCTCTACCAACAACTGTTCTAATTTTAATACTATGTTACCTTGGAGTGAATATATATATTCTTTTTGAGTGACATGAGAATGTATTGACATTTTGATTGCTTATAATTCATGTCCTTGACAACAAGTCATTCAACAAACTTTGTTGTTTACTTGATGTTATAATTTTGAATACAAACTTTGTTTAAAATAATTTTTTAATTTGGTTCTTTTTATTTCTTTTTTAAAGAGCTTTAGATTTTTTTTTTCCACAAATCGATTGGTATAATTTTTAATTTATTTATGATTAAAAAATCCAAACATAAAAAATAAAATATTATATTTTTTATGATTAATATTTTGATAATTTAAGCATCTAAATTTATTTATAATGATTAATGTTTTATTTACTTGTAATAGATTTTTAAAATATAATGTAAAGTTTTTTACAAGATTTATATTTTTTCATGCTTTGGTAGTCATCAATTTGTTTTTATTATATGTTTTAGATTATTCTAAATAGGGATTAAATAATTGTTTTAATAGCAACTATGCAAGCATAAAAACAAAACTTAATATATATATATATATATATATATATATATATATATATTTAATCATTTAAACAAATATTTATATATATATATATATTTAAAACTTCTATTATGAAATGCATTTAAATGACAACCAAATTATAAATAAATAATCAGTATATATTTTTATATTTTTATTGTGATTTATTAGAAAAAATAACCATATCTATAAAAGGCACGATTTTCTATGTACAACTTCTAAAATTATTAACATTTTATTTAAACCTAAAAGTATTTCATAATTTATAGAAATTTATTTCCAAAAAAAGGCTTTAATATTTAACAAAATAGAAGTAGACTTTGATTGATGTACAAATATTAAAAAATAAACTTAAACCATTAATTAGAGAAATAATTTAAGGATAATAAATAAATCTTTGCAATGTAATATTTTACAAGAATCTAGTTGTAAAATTTCTATTATAATTTATCAAAATTATCTTGTGGATGAAGTTGCATTTGTATAACCTAACTCTTTCTCTGTGTTATTTGTCTACAAATATCAAACTTTGATGTATTAAGAATTTTTATATAAGAAATAACATTATGTGATAAATGAAGAAATCAATATAAAAAGACAATATTGATTTGAACACTAATGATTTGCAATTGTTATGATGCAAATATGATATTTTTGTTTTTTGTTAAAATAAATAAATTCAATTACTGATGTTTTGTTTGTTGATCTTGTGAAGAACATAAATTTACACATATTCTTTGAAAATATATCTAGCATACATGTGTCAAAAATTATATATATGTATATATATAAATTATTGCTAAATGTGAACAGACTAAACAACCTTGAATCATTGAAAATAAAATAGTTAAAATAAAAAAAAAGCCATAAAGTTTACCAAATTTGCACTCAAAATCCTAACATAATGCCATACTGAATGAAATTATGGACATTGAAAGGGTCTCAAACTCTCCACAAAGAACTTTTAAACCTCATATTGCTTTCAAATAAACAAGATAAAAATAATTGAAAAAGCAAACAAGGTATTGAGAGAAAAGTGGTACCTTAGCCCAGATTACAGCATATCGTTATCCAGATTAAAAAACTAAAACTAGCACATCCCTGTTCATATTTATGTATACCCTAGCAATAATTTTTATATATACATATAAATAAATTTTGATATATATATATATATATATATATATATATATATATCTTCAACTAGAGAATATTTACATCAAAAGAAAGAAGAAAGAAAGTTCTGATCTAAACTATTCGTTGAATCCGAATTTGGAAGGAAAGGACCAAAAAAAAAAAAAAAAAAAAAAAAAAACCTGTACTGTTTCAAAGTGGTAGTAAAACCAGTTGACATAAGAGCTTTTTTTTTAACACTCAAAAAAGGCAAAGAAGTGCTTAGAGACAAGATAGACAGGAAAGGTGGAGTCTTCACTAATGCTTCGGTGTCGGTGGAGGGGAAGTCACCACCGTGTGGTGGCCTGCTAGACTCTGCAAAGGTTCACAGATAGATATCACAATCTTCCCAACGGCAACTCCCTCCATGCATCTGCTCCAAGCTTCCTGTGCTTTGGCCAGAGGATATGTTGAATCGATCACAACTCTGATCTTCTTCTGGTGCAGAAGGTTGAAGAGGAGATACATGTCGGCACAGTTGGGGATGTGCATGAAAGGGAAGTACTTCTGCTTGGACAGCGAGAAGGCGTGTATCGCAGTTGTCATGAAGCCTTTCGGTGACGGGTTTAAGTCGATCACGAAGCCAGCGGGTGCGAGCAGGAACTTGTATTGAGGGAAGGGTCGATTCGGACCACAGTTGATCACAACGTCGTACTTCTTTCCGGTAGGACTCTCTGGGGCAGCTCCCTTTAAGGCTTCGTAGGTCAGTGTTTCGTCTGCTCCCAAGCTTTTGAGCAATTCGAAGTTGTTGGGGTTGCAAGTCACTGTCACGTGAGCGCCTCCCAGTTTTGCAATCTGCAGCATAGGCATATTATAAGCTTCAGAAGATACTTTGTAATATGTATAGATAAACTCAACCAAAGGATTTGACTGAGGAAATTCAAGCTTTACGAACTGGGGAGAAGATAGTGTACCTGCACAGCCAAAGTCCCTACCCCTCCAGATGCGGCTCTAATGAGGATGTTTTTAGATTCAGTGGATCTCCTTTCAATGTCAATCCCTGCCGAGTTACGAACACTTTGAAGAGCAGTAAATCCACTGATCAGCAACGCAGCGCCCTGAATTGGTGTAACTTCATGCCGTCTTTTTATTGTGACCCTGATTGGGGCGATTGCATATTCGGCAAGGCCTCCACCAGCCTGACATAAACCACCAAACACTATTGATTGAGGATAGAAGGATGTCATGAACGACTTGTCTACCAAATTCACAAAAGTGACAAAAACCTGGTGCTACTTCAATAAAAATGTCTAATGCACATACGATTGTCAGCTCAAGCCGCGCGCGCAATCGAGCGAGAGCGCGATAAAGAGTGAAGGAGATCATACCCTGCCCAGACAGCTCACAACTTTGTCACCAGGTACGAAAGTTGTCACTGCAGGACCCACACTGACGACCATCCCAGCAATGTCTGCACCTGCTCACAGGGCAACGCTGCACTTAAGTCCGCATCCTCAAATATCTCCTATACAATACGTCTCTCTTAGAGATCCCTGGAATGGTTTTGCTAGAGCCGACTAAGGATATTCTGAAGCAACCCAAGCCCTTTACGATGTGGCACCACGAATATTACCGTAACATGACACTGACTTTTCAGAACTTGAATGAAGTTTCGTCTATCACCAGAAGGGACCATGCAACTTAAATCCCTATTCAGTAGAATTTCAGCATGAAACCAAATGGCTTCTTTATTGATTCGTTAAAAAAAAAAAAAAAAAAAAAAAAAAAAAAAATCCTTTTGGATGAACGCTTTGCACTTTAGTGTAAGTTTGAAGCAGTCACCTGGTACATGTGGGAACTTGTAGGGCAGAACAGGTTTCATAGCGCCCTTCTGAACTTTCCAATCAATAGGATTGATACTGCAAGCTTCCACCTTAACAAGCACCTCATCTCTGCCCGGTTTGGGAACTGGCAACTCCACATGCTGCACCGTCGCAACATCACACCGGCAGCGTCACAAAATGAAACGTACTTGAAAGTGTACAATGTTCAACAAGAAGAAGGGAAGCTGGAGACTGGAACCACACATTCAAAACAATACCGGTTGAGAGAATTACCTCTAAACCTTCCGCACCGCCACCATAGCAGGAGTATTGGACAGCTTTCATCGTCTTGGGAATATCCAACACAGAATGAGACGCCATGGCTGATATTCACGCTTCTTCCGCTTCTTCCAACCACAATAGACCACCAATACCCTCAAATATACCTTCTGAGGAGAAAAAAATCGACATGTACCACATCACTGAAGGTGTCTACTAATGCGAAGTGGACCATTCCTAATACCAAAGAACAGCATTTCCTACGAGTGTCAAGCTACTTGAAGCTGTTCCCCAACTTCTCTTTGATTTATGTCAGGACTCCTTCCTCTCGTCCTTCCTCAAGTGAACCGACTGAGTTGTCCAGAAACGTTGCCTCTCCAGCAGAGGCATATTGTTCCGCTATTTTCGAGTAATGACCCACTCGTCTCAATAATCGCAAAAGCGACCTAAGTCAATCTACAGGCGAAAACTCTTACTACTGGGCTTCAGCCGTGGGATATACAGGTTATATGTTTTCTTTCTGTTTCCAAGAAACGAAAATGCTCTTAATGAATTAAACCCTTCGCAGCATAACTACGGAAAGTCTGAGGTTTCTCGATCCCTAATTGCCCAAACCACAACTTCACCAAAGGAAAAAATCTTCCCCAAAGAGTCTTAACTATCACTCGGTGATAGCGCGCTGCGCAGTACAGAATACGTCCTCAAAACACAAACAGCTCATATTCGCAGGGCAATGCAAAGGAAGCTACACAGTCACAACAACAACAAACTGAAGAGTTACATTCATCCGGCGGTAATCGTGGAGCAAGAGAATTTCCACGGAGTGACAAGCAGCTCACCTTCACACCGCCACCAGATCGAAGCTCAACTCAACTCGAGCTCTGGATGTCTGACAACAACAGATGCCCACGCTCAAATGGCACCAGCGGTTCGCCTTCCACCTCGAATGACCTCTTCACGGGCGCCACTCGATGCGACCCTCGTTCTTCCTCCTTGCAGGCAACGAACGCTCTTGGCAAAGATTCATAAAGTTGCTGCACTGGACAAGTCGAACTCGAAAACAGGATCAGACAGACTAGGTCAAGCGGACAAAAAAAACAAACAAAAACAAAAGAAAAAGAAAATTGTGCACGCCACCTATCATACGGGGGCTCATATCTCTCTACCGCATAACAGCATCATCACCGACTTTGACAAACTGATAATAAAAACAACTTAGTTGCTGGAGCGAATAAAATTAACATGGATCGGTGCGGCGATTCGCATTGCGTGTGGAACTCCTCAGAACGCGCCAGGTTTTCGATCCGCAAGGTGCTCCAAGTGGCAAGAGTAAAAAAGTGCGGCCACTCTGGTGGAAGTGTGTCGGAGGCAATGAATCCCTGGCACGTGAGACTTGTCTACCTGGAGAAGCGGCCACAAAAGACTCTTTGTGGGTTTTAACTTTCGTCAGGTTTCCGTGCCACAATACACACAATCCCGTTGAAACTATCCCCGCGTCGTCGAATCTCGCATCCTTTTGCAGTCTTCCCTCTCATCGGGGGGGGGAGCTGTCCACGGCGTAGGACGCACCGCGAGTGCACAGCAGTGGTTCTTGTGGGGGGCACAAGAGACAATTTCCTGCTCACGAGACTCACTTCAATCCATCTTTCGAGACGCAGTTTGTTTGATGTCAGATCTGGGGACTTCTCACTTTCTCACTCTCACTCCAAATCCGTATATCCACAGCAGAATTTATCCTATTTCCCCCCACCACTCATTCCCCACCCACTCTCCTTGGGAGTCCAGTTTTGGTTTTATCTGTTTTTGTTTTGTCACTCTCGCTGATTCTGCTGCTATTCTTTTTATATTATTATTTTACCGTTGAAACAGTGCAGGATATGAATCCTGCAGGTTTAGAAACTTCCACATGGGGTTTTACAGAGTCTGCCAAACAAAGTCAGAAAGAAGGGCTGTGGCAGGGGTGGTTCTTCACGACCTGGCTTGTCCACAACATTTGTATATATATATATATATATATATATGTATATTATTATTATTGTTGTTGTTGTTGGGTGTCCAAGTATTACTTGATTTTTATTTTTATTTTTTTGTTCATGTGTTTATTGTTGAAATATAAGAGGGTTCACTTGGTATTTGATTACAAAGGTTAGGGAGGTGGGGTTTTATCAAGTATTATCAGGTTTACGTACAATGTTATCATGTTTGTATGGAGATTTGATAGTTGTTTTTTTGGGTTCCAAATTAATACATTTTGTTGTATTTAATGAGGATCTAGAAAATTGACTTTTAAAAGAAATAGTGTGATTTGTTTTTATATTCGAAGAGATTAGATGCAAGGCCATACTTGATTGACCAAGTTGAATACCTAATGGAGGGAGGGAAGGTCTACAAAAATGGTTTATTTGAGGTCACGAGACTTGTTGTGGGTTTTTCATGGTTGGTTGTGATGTTGCATGTTATGAACAAAAGCGCACAAATTTTGAGTTCTTTGATGACAAAAACTTTGCTAAAATCAATGCAAAATAGATTCTTGTTTCTTGAAATATTAAAAGCTTGTAATTGATTTTTATTGTAGAGAATATTTATTGCATTTGTGCATAGTTTGTTGCATAGTGATACCAAAAAAATCCAAACTCATGCAAATAACACAATAATTACATTTTGTTCCATGATTTGTTTTGGTTACAATTGAAGGAAGAAGATTGAGGGTTTCAAGTTGAAAAATAAGATTCATTTAAAAATAAATAAAAAACCAACATTTAAATAGGATTGACAAGTTAATGTCAAATTAATGATTTCTTGCTATAAATGAAAGTCTAGAAAATTTTATTGGAGATAAAAATTTCATTTTAGTATAACATTAAAAATTAAAGTTTTTAAGATTACTTTAAAGAAGGTTGACGACTCTGATTTTAATAACCTTTCATATTTATAGTGGAAGAATCAATACTAGTTTTACAATATAGATTTTTTTAGTAATGAACAAAAAAAAAAAAAGAAAAAAAGAAGATGATTAATTTACTAATCTTATTATTTTATTGTTATTTTATTAATGAATTTTGAGAATCTAGACCAAGAATTAAATTAGATAGATTTGGTCTTAGAGTTATGAAACTAAAAGAATTTCAATAAAAAAATATCAGAGAATATTATAAAGATCAGTCTAGTGTAAAAAAATACAATAGATTACCTTTTGCATCAACAAGGAAACTATAGTAAAAAAATATAAAAGTAAATTAGAACCTATAATTTTTTTATTTTTATTTTTATTTTTTAAATTTACAAATATATTTATCCAAAAAGTTCTTAAAACATGTTAATTAACACAAATTTTTAAAGTGTGTTATCGTTAAAAAGTTGTGTTTGTAAATTAAACTCTTATTTAATTTACATGTCATTAGGCCTTGATATTTTTATATTAAATAATATTATTCTGTTGAAAAGAGAAGATAAAGAAAAAAACACTAATAAAGATACATATTTTTCATAAATATTAATATTTTTTGTAGTCTTAACTAGCAAAGAAGGTTCTAGATATATTGAGGGTCTATAAAAGGTCTGTTATTTAAGTTTTGGTGTAACGAACATGATGATTAAAGTTTAATAATTATACCACCTACAAAATTCATTTTATGGTATATGTTTGTTAAGGTTGGAGAAGAATGGATATATATAAATATAGGTATATTTCTAAATTTATAAATGATGTTTTATATTGAATTATATTTTAAAGAATAACAATAATAGTTATAAGGATCCAAGTAATATTAAAGCTTATAAAAAAAGACAATAAGAATACATTTGAAAATATTAATCTTCTTTGAATTGCTAGTGCATAAATCACAATAAAACTTAAATTAATAAAATAATAAAATATCACAAAAATTAAAGGATATAGAAAGAAAATAAAAATTTATCTAATAAAATATTTTTCATCTAAGATACTTTAAATTCTTTTAATTTTTTTTCAAACTAAAAAACCTAATTATTTTAATATATCCAAGTTTTGAAAATTAAATCTATTTTAATACTTAACCAAATTGTTGGATTGTTTTTTAAATCAATTATCATTTTTCTACTTAATTGAACAAAATAAGAATAAAAATATAGAATAATAAAGAAAAGAAAAGACCTAGGATTACTTTTTCTCTATTATAAATATAAATATTATATATATATATATATATATATATATATATAATTCAATTGAAAAAGCATGAAATAAAAGAAGCAAATTGCATTGAATATTTTTCATGTTGAAAAATTGAATAGTAAAGGTTTTATTGTTATTAAAATATTTTAAAACCAGAATTTCGTTAAGGAATTTATGAAAGAATCTAAAGCATAAGATTTCAAATGTATTAAACAAGAAGTTTTGTAAGTCTCAATTAAGGGTCATAGAAAAGGATAATTATAATAATAGTTTATTTCAATGTTACAACTTTTGAAATTTACATTTTTTCTTGTAGACAATTAGAAAATTTAAGGTTGTTTTTAAATCATATAAAATTCTATTGGAATTTTGTAAAATACATCTATTAATAATATAATTTTTTAACATTTAATTTTTTTTGCAAATATTTTAAAGAAAATATCAATGAAAAACCATAGTATTTGCACATTTGGTCACATTTTTACAAATACAAATATTCAAATCTTAAAAGATTGATTTGAGAAGGTTTAAAATGCAACCTTTTACTGAAATTTAAATATTGCAGATTTGAGATCTTTATTAATTTTTTTTTTTTAAATAAAACAAAGTGATGGGGCTTGCATGGAATTTCCACCAAGAGTTGTACAGAAAGGTGATAATAAACAAACTTATTTTTCTACAAAATAATAGTAGATGATTGGAACTTATAGGTGGTAGAAAAATGAATTAAAGAAATGAAAATATTCCATAATTCTAAATTTATTACATAATGTATTAGACTTTTTGTTTTAGAAATATGTAAAGAAAGGATTCGAAAAAGAAAAAAAATTTGTGGCTAAAGATTGACCAAGCATCTAATGTAATATTTGTAAATGATTTTTACATTAAGAATCTTTCTTATAAAATTATTTGGCCATGATACAATTTCTCTTAAATTCTAACAGTGATTGCTTGAGAAGGAAGTTATTCTTAAACAGACTATGATTTTTTTAAGTTGTTTGTTGTGTATGTGTTTGCAATGTTCAAATTTTTAATTTGAGCTCATTTAAAAAAATAAAAATAAAAATTGATGAAATTTTGTTGTCATAGAAAGTGCACATATTGGCAGCAATGAGCTAGAGATTAAAGTTTACTATGTTTTCTTTAGTGCTGCCTTTATTGGCATGATTTGAAATAAAAACATATTTAAGGTAGCATTTAGAATAAGGTACAAAAATGCTAGCTAGGGGATGTTCTTTTGTATTTTGAGTTTTCAAATAAAAAGAACATTGCAAGGATGAAACAAAAACTAAATTAAATAAAGGAATTAAAAAAGAAGAGGAAAAATCTTGTATAGTTTGAAAATTTTAGATCTTCATTGAATTTCTCAACCTAAATGCATCATGTGGTTAGAATTTTGTTTTCATTTTGATAAATGTATGTAAAAAAAATAAATGAATATATTATTTATTTATTTATTTAAAAAATAATTTTATACTTTATAATGATCAAACAACTCATGTTTTTAGATATCTATAAAAATCAAATTTCTAAAAAAAGCATAGATTTGATTTTAATTTTAATTGATGGCTATAGCAATAATATACATACATACATACATACATACATATATATATATAATCATTCGTTGGATAATTCTATTAGTACTCATTAATTACTTTAATTCGAATTGATACTGAATGACCATTTGTTAATTTATTTTAAAAGTCTTTGTAGCTACTTCAGCTACATATCTTTATTTATTTGTAATATATATATATATATATATATATATATATATATTTATTGGATGTTTAATTTACTAAAGAATATAGACACGTGAGAAAGTAAAATTTTCTATGATGCATGGGCTCACAAAAGCTTACCTTCATTATATCAAACTTACAGGACATGCTAAGATACATAACTTTCATATTATATTTTATTGGCCACTTTTCGAAGTTTTGAAAAAAAATAAAAAATAAATAAACACTTTTCAGTTCTGCAATCTTTTATCACAAAACTTGAATATTTCATCTGAGAATTCAAAAAATTAACATACAAAAAATCTTACTGTTAATCCTAATCACATTCTTAGTTTTTTGAATGTCATTAAAAATGCTTACTCTCTTCAAGCAGCACCCAAGTCTACAAAAATTGCAACACTCTTTCTCATTTTCTCATTTTCTTACTTACGATGTTCGTGACATAATTTGGTACACAACATGAACCAAAGTATGGAATCTGAACGAACCCCGTTGATATGAATCAATGAAAAGTTTTACACATCGACCATGGCTGAATAAGGACTTGGATTGTGTCGGTGGAAGAAAGCGAGCCTGCTGAAGAATGCCGTAAAATGGCCTCAACAACTGCCGAAGAATCGGTGCAAACCGAAAGGTTCCTATCGATAAAACCAACGCTTTTCTAAAGCGAGATTTACAGTAGACATGACCACCGATCAGCGACACCCATTTAGCAAAGATTTTCGAAGATTCATGCTCTTCGATGGCCAGTTTTTCGGATGATTCTCTGGAGAAATGTCCGTCACGATAGCGCAATCAGCTACGGAACGACAGAAAGGGGATCCAATCTCGCACTCAAGTCCATGCAACAGAATTT